CTACTGTGCGAAAAACGCTTTCAGTTTTGCGTCGTTAATGGAGTGGTGACAACGCTGACGGACCAGCTTTCTAACGTAGTGAAAGAAAACGGGCGAAAGGTGTTCATCGCCCTGATCTGTGTCGTCAGCTTCCTGCTCGGAATTCCGATGGTCTGTCAGGTATCGCTCTTTCTCTGAAATAATGGGGCTTAAATTTTCTCGTACTCTGCTGCAGAGTGGCCAATTCTGGGTGACGTTGGTGGACAACTTTGGAGCTGGCGGCATCCCGTTGATATTCATCGTGTTCTTCGAGTCGATTGCTCTCTCCTTTGGTTTCGGTACGATTCAGTCTTTCGGTCGTGAGGATGCGCCCTTTGTTTGTGTACCTTTCATGTTCGTTTAGGAGCAAAGCGCATCCACGATGCCCTGTCCGAGATGCTCGGCTATTCGCCGTCCCTCTACTGGTACTACTGCTGGCGCTACGTCGTCCCTGCTTTATTACTGGTTGATTTGATACAGTATAGATCGCTAATAGATTAAATTTCGAGTAAATTTAGGCACTCTTTGTTTTCGTCGTTGTTCTCTTTAAACCGTTACTTTACGCAGATAACGTACCGTATGCTCCGTGGGCGACTATCCTCGGAATTCTGATGTCAGTGTCGTCAATGATCGCCGTACCGGCTTACGCCGTATACTTTCTGTGCACCGCCCAGAAGGGAACATTACGTCAGGTGACCACGTCAGGCGCTGGTCGCGAGTTCGTGTTCTAAAGCTGTCTGACTTGTAACGTGTATTTTTGCAGAGGCTGGTGAACGGTCTCAGGCCTAAAATATCGGGTGCTATGTCAGTGGTACTTACTGTGACAGAAACTTCTGCTGCCGCGATTGCGAAGTGAAGAATACCGAACGATAAGATGCTCACCCATTCAGGAGACCGCTTTCTACACCGTAGATTGACGCAGATTTCCGGACGATATGACCGCACATGAACACCGGATGTCAGAACTGATCGATAATGATATATGCGAAGTAATGCATTGTGGTTGTCTATTAAAACACCCGTAAAACTTTGTCATTCTGCGGCAGAGTTATTGTATCTTTTCCACTGTCCAAACAGGAAACAAGGAAATGTGTCTTTCAGACGAGAAACCGCATGTCGCGAAGAAGCTGTACATAAATCTCGACTACTGCCGTAGTGGGTCAATATGAAAGATGTTTTGTCAACTCTGGGTTACTCTGATTACCTCCTAACGCGTAGATAGTAGTTACTCCAATAAGATTGCCTCCTAATCAAACAATATTCTTCATCTTCATCTTCACCTTCTTCATCTTCCATCGCCGCT